CCTGATTGTGTCCAAGCTCTCACCATACACCAGGAAGTATAAATATTAATAGGTGCCGGGTGAGAGCTGGGGAGCAGAGGGCTGGGAGGGCAGGGGGGAAGGGGCTGCATCACCCCCCCCGGCCCCTCCCTGCACAGTGGCTGGGACTCAGCCACAAAACACAGGGAAAGGTCATCGTGCTCAGCCATGGGAAGAAGAGCCGCCAGGCAGCAGCTGCCCCATTGGCTCTGACGAGTGCCAGTGGCTCCAGGGACATCTGTCACCACCCTGCTCCATGGCCCATCCCCACAGCGGGGTGTGCAGGGCTCTACACCAATTTATGCATGGGTTGCACGGTGTGCATGTGGCACATGGAGACCTGCACCAGCCCCGTGGCTGTGCTCATCCCAGGAGCAGACACGGATCCCGTGTGCTGTGTGACTGTGCTTAGATAATGGGGATCTCTGCAGCCACACACCGGTTTTTAATTGCACACAAATGGCACTGAGTGCCACGTCTCTCAGCTGTCCCGGGGTGAGGGGACAACCTGATGCTACCCAAAGCCTGGGTACCAGCCGCGCTGCAGGGATGTAGAGTTCCACGTTTCCCTCCTGTTCCCTGCTGGCCAGGCTGCTCTCCCTGCTGCCGGAGTTTGATGATGACAAACTGCGCCGACATGGAGATGGAGTGCCTTCCCCAATCTGCTTGGTGCCCATTAGGCAAGAGCAGCTGCAGTGATTGATGCTGGCAAGCCCCAGGCGAGAGCTTCCCCATCCCTCCCACACACACACCGCCAGCCTCACCACAGCCCACTGCCACCTTACAGACCTCTCCTTGACAGCACAACACACTCAGCATGGGGGCATGGGGATTCGATGGGGACCTTACCCCTCAGCACAAGCGTGGGGCGAGATCCTCCGTGCTGCTGAGGACAGTGCCAAGCCGTTGGTCTCCCGGATAGCACGTGGGGTTGTCAATCAGCCAGTGTCAGCTATGTGAGATTCACCTCTGCAAGGAGATGAAAGTGGCTCCGAACGGAGCGCCGTGCTCCCCGCGGAGGGGGCTGCACGCAGAGCTGGCCACCGCCTGATTGATGCTTTGGCAGCATGATGGATGGCGGCGGGAGAGCCCCTGCCACGGCTGCACATGCACCGCATCCCTTATCAGGAGATGGGAAGCAGCCACACAGGCGGGGAGGGCTCCCCACCCCATCCCATCCCATCCCTGCCAGTGCTGCACGAGGAGGCAGAGCAGGCTGCGAGGGGTGGGAGCTGCTGCGGGAAGTTTTATGGGGCCTGCATCAATCAGCGGGAATCCCATAAAAGTCGGTGGGTATAAATGGGCTCCTCAGATAGGTTTTGACATCCAATTGTCTTTTCCATTTCGGATGTCATAAAGCTATGCACACCCATCTAGAGAGAGGGAGCGAGCGTTCACGCTCCGAAATAGGGATGCGCAGGCACATGCACGGTGCGCCTGGCACACGTGCGTGCAGAGGCTCTGTGTGCACACACTGCTCACACACACACCCACTATGGGCCCCCCCTGCTCACACGGGGGCACTGCTAAGGGCAAAGCCTGTGCTCTGCTGAGGGCCTGGGGACCCGTTCACTGCCATTAACCCAAGGCAGAGGCAGGAAATGGGAGGCTGGGGATCGATTTGGGAAGCTGTTTAAAAACCTCATTTAAAGGGAGAAAAGGAACATCCAGCATGCAAGCGGTGCCAGGACGTGCTGCTGCCTCTCCTCCTGCAACACAATGAAACAGGCAGTGCTCAGCTGGGAGGATGCTCCCCTCCTCAGAGCCATCACTTCTCCCTGCAGGGAAATCACAGCTCCGGTGTTAGGCACAAACTCAGATGAACGAGCAGGTCGTCCATCATCTCCGCGTAAATCATCTGCCGTGCTCGGCTATGTGAGCATCACGGCCTGGGGACAGAGAGCGGCTCACGCGCTTCAGTGAAAAGGGGGAAATTTTACACAGCTGAGGGAGAGAGGAGGAGAGAAATGCAAACTTGGAGCGGTGGGGGAGAGCCATTCATCTCTGCAGCCTGCAGCATCCCCCTGCAGCACGCGGCTCCAACTGCCTGGGGACCACTCAGGCACAAGCAAACGCCTCTATTTTGCTGAGAATTAATTGTCCCTGAAAGAGCCACAGCCTCTCCATCGTGCTGGGAGCTGAGCGTGGGGCTCCAGCTGCCAGGACACCCTTCTTCCTCCCCACATTGGGCTTGGGCTGACAGCACAGCAGGGAGCAATTGCCCTTTGCAAACTAAGGCCTGGCCCAGGTGGGATGAGGAGCACATGGAAGCTGTTGCACACCTTCCCTGTTGCATACCTTCCCCCTGGGGAGGAGATGGCTGTGCTGTGATTCAGTTGGAGATGGGGTACCTGGCATGCACCCCGTGGCACTGCAGGAGGATGCTCCGCTGGTCTGTGCTGGTGTCACCCAGATGCAGAATGAAGGAGAGGAGTGGGGAAGCAGGAGGGACCCCACATCCTCCTCCCACACCTGGGCTCTGGCCGCAGCATCGCTGTGGAAGGTGACTTCTTTGGAGATGGCTCTCACTGCATCGCAGAATCGCTTCTGGATAAACAATTACCGCCTATTTACCTCTGCCCATATGGCACTCAGGAACAGGTGTGCAGGTAATGAAACACCCAGATCCACCAGGCTCGGGGAGGCTGGCTCATCTTTCCTCCTCATTCCTGAGCTTGGGCTGCAGCCCGCTCGCAAATAAGAGCTAAGGAAGATGGAAGGACGTGGAGGTGGGGGCCACCTACTGCCAGGCAGTGTCACCCTGCCCAACTCTGTGCAGCGTCACCCACACAGGACGGACATCCCCAGGGTCCTACAGCCCCAGCACAGCCACCCGGACCCCCTCCCACTGTCTACACGAGCTCTCCCTGCCCGTAACTCATGGCTGAGCCACTGCTTTTCTTCAAAAGCCATCTAATCTCCGCACACAGCCGCGGAGAGGGGGATTTATCACCTCCCCCGGTGCCGTATCCTCTGTGCGGATAAGATAGTTTATGCAAACAGACGCCAGGCTGTGTCGCTTCCTTATTTCTCTCTCCCCGACTCGCAGCTCATCATCGGTTACAGCGGTGACCAGTCACCTAAATCACCCGGCTGTGCGCCCGCTCCCGGCGCTGATTGATGCAGGCGTTTGTCTGCTCTCCAAACAGTCCCAACCCTCTGTGATGTGTGGGGGCACAGGGAGGGGTGTCGCTGTGGGGCTCGGAGCTGGCATTCAACCCATGGGGCACCTCTTCTTCTTCCATCCCTACAAAGGCTCCCCCAGAAACCAGCGCTACCAGAGCTTATTGGGAGGCTTCACCAAGCCCAGGTACCCCAGCACAGGCACCAGAAAGCAGCAGGCACAGGAGATGCCAACATCCAAATGGCTCCTGCTGAACATGGCCCTGCAGATTAGCGGGGAATTCTCACTGCTGCCTTGGCAAAGGCTGCTGGCATGGGTGCCCACGGCAGGGCTCTGCCTTTCTGGCAAACAGCTGCTTTCCTTTGCGTGCAGTCTGGGCCTTGAATCACACAGAGGAAACCCAGCTGCTGTCCGGGGCTGCGAGCGGCTGCGTAATCTGTGCAGCCACAAGATCTATGGGCTGCTTGGGCATAAACAACACCACAGCACAGCCCTCTGATGCGCTGAGATGAGGGTGCACGGGAGCCTCTCTCTCAGTCCTCGCAACATGAGGATGGAGACTCAGCCTCTCCAGCACTGCTTGTCCCCTGTGAAGGTGACCAGCTGTCACAGTGTGTGCTGCCCGGCCACCTGTGCAATGTTCACATTCATTTCTTCATTCCATGTTCAGCGCCTGCTGGCACGGGCAGGGTGGGGGGCACGTCCTTCATATCCACACAGGGCTCACCTGGGGTTTGCTTCTGCTGTATGTCCCCTCCACCACGCTGCCAGGGGAGTCGGGGGGAGGTGCCAGCATCTCGGTGCCATGACTCGAGACCAAGAGTGCCAATGGCTCATGGCCAAGGGAGGCTGGAGGGGAACAAACCCAGTGTCCTCGCAACATATGTGAGCTGGGAGTGAGTGGTCCCCAGGCAGCACAGCGAGCAGCCGGGCGTGCACAGAGCTGGCTGCCAGAGCTGTGTCCCCTGCCAGCTGCCTGCCTGCAATGACACGCTCTCGTCCCCTGCCAGCTTTTGTCACCTCTGGGCAAACAAGGGAGGGGACAGGCACTGAACTGTGGATGTGGTGTGGAATGGAGGTGGAGGACCTCATCACTGCTGCAGTTCCTAAAGGGAGGAACGGACCCACCCCAGCCTCAACTTGCTGCTCACAGGGGTGGTCCCCACAGAGGCCAGGCAGCCCTTGTCCCTGTGCTGTGGCTGCAGCCTGGCCATGGGGACACAGGTCACTGGGTGTTGAAGATGTGGACCAACCGAAGTCATTTTTCAGAGCACATCCCCCTCCTCGAATTCTGGAGCTGATCTGCGTGACGTTAAACTCTGGCATCACTGGGTCTGGACTGATTGTTCTGCACCACAGGAGCAGCATCTATGAGCACTGTGGTGTGCAGGGCCTGGAGGAGCAGGATCAGACCCCCAGCTGCGTTCAGACATCTGCAATTCTGCTGAGCAAAAGCAGTGCGCTCCTGCTGAATCTATTTGCACCTCCCTAGCAAGGCTGTCCCGGCCATGCTAGCCCAAGCAAAGTGCAAATGAACCCCTCTCGCCTCCCAGCGTGGTCTCCAGTGACTTGCCAGTGCTGTCTCCATGCTGCTCATGCAGTTCCCATGCACCTTTCTCATCCTGCATGTCTCCACCCCAGGGCATCCCCTTCTCTCCTGTCCCCAAGGTCCCATGAGGTGCCCCAGGGCACCACACACCTCCCACCGTGGCACTTGGTGCTGCGCTGTCACAGCTCCCCGGCGCATACCATTGACAAGCTTCTGTTAAATAATTGAATTACTCAAATTGTTCCCTTTTCCCTTCGGTTTCGGTACACATTTGTCATCATTCCATTAGGCAGGCGCTTTACTCTCATTTCATTTATTCATAAGCATTGCCGGGGCTCAGGCAGCAGCAATGACAGCAGAGCTGAGCGTGATCGCTAGCACGGGACACGCTGTCCCCAGCACTCCCACGGTGGCACGGGGATGGTGGTGGTGGAGGATGGGTTCCACGTGCACCACTGTCACTGCAGCTCACTGCCCTGCGCTGGGGGTGCCGTGGATTTGGGCAAAGGGGGGGGGGCTGAGGCAGCTGCACGCCCACAGCCGTGTCATCATAAGCGATTCCTGTATCAACAAGACATTTACAAAGGAAAGCAAATAAGCCAATTATGGGGAAATATCCCATCACCCGTCCGGCTTCCCCACAAAGCACAGCGGCACGAGTTCTGCACTGCACATCCCAATTAAACACCCATCGTGACAGCACGTGGCAGCAGATGAAAGGACTCCACGGCTCTGTGGCACCCCTCCCCCCTGCACCCCGCTGATGGCAGACACCGGTGTCTGTGGGGAGAACAGAGTCCCACGTGGCAGTCCTGCACTGCAGGGCACATCCTTACCAAGGGTCCCCATCCCACTGAGCAGAGCCCCTACACGAGTACAGCCCCAGGGCAAGGGTGCCCCTCACCTCTCCACCTCTGGGATGAGAGAGAGGCACTGCACTGCTGGAGCCACCATGGTGCTCATCTTTCATGTCACGGATGGGAGAAGACCTAGGGGAGGAATTAGAGATAAAAAATTGGACACTGGCGGGAGGGTGCGAGGCCTCCCCCGTGCATGCAGAGTAGATCCATTACCATAATAACGAAGCACTTAATAGCCGCTTCCCTGCTTGCTCTAATTGAAACGGATAGCGTTGTTTCCAGGGCTGAGCAGTGTACGTCCTCGGTGCTGCCAGCGTGTGCCCATCCCACAGCCATCGGCAGCTCCTACAGGATGGGAACACAGAAGGGGACAGGGATGGGGACAAGGAGGGGTGTGCTGGCCAAGGTGGCTACAGGAGGTCAGCAAAGCCACAAGCCCGACCCTGTGCCCCTCCTGGAGTCCCCGTGGTTCTGAGAGCACTCTGTGGTGCTGAGCTCATCCCTCCATGTCAGGCACAGCAAGAACTGGGGGAACGTGGCTCTGGACACAGGTCTGGCACAAGTTTGCAGGACCAGTGATCATCTAATTGCAGTAATTAGCTCATAATTGTGCAATTATTTCAGGACGTGGTGCCGTGTGTTCCTGTAACGGATGGAGAGGAAAGACACAGCCAGAATGTCCCAGGGTTAACAAAGGACCCACATGTCCTCAGAGATCCCCTCCGACACGACACTGCGTGAGGCTGACCGTGTCCCACTGGCTGGGTAGCACTGAGGCCACTGTGACATCCTGTGCTAGAAGACAGGGTTGGCACTGAGCTGCTGCAGGCATGAGTGGGCAGCACCTCCAAGCACCTCCGCTCTTCTGGGGCTGGCAGCATTGAGCAGTGGAAATAGGAATTTGGGAAAAGAAGAGGCAGTCAGCTCTGCCCAGCTCAGCTGTATGGGCATGATTCATTTCACTCCACCCATTTTTTCCATGAAATGGCAGCAAATCTCCACTCCAAGCATTGTTTCCAAGCAGGAGCGGCTGTGCAGGCAGACACCAGCACCACGCCTGGGCTGTGCCAGCACGACCTGCCAGTGGCTGCCTGCATGCTGCCCTGCCCACCCTGCACCCTGGCACATGGTGACAGAGGCATCCAGCTAGAGCCATGACCCGTAGCCATGAGAAACTGCTGCAGGATGGATGCAACAGCTGACGGTGAGGATGTTCATCGTTTGCGATGGAGCTCAGCCCATTCCCATGCACAAAGCACAACAAGCTGTGTTTTCTGCAGGAACTTAATCGGGAAGCCCACAGCCCCGTGACCCCCAGCCTGAGGGAGACGCCGGTCTGCGGCCATGGGACGCCCTGGCTGGCAGCCTGCAGCTGGCGGGGATGCAACGGCACGGATGGGGACAAGTCCTGAGAGGCCGTGTGGAGACGTTCTGGAGGCATGTGCTTGTTCTGGAGTGCGCCGAGGGGCCGCAGCCAGCTGGCTGAATCCTGCCTGTGAGCGGCTGCACGCCCAGGCTGTGTCGGTGCTTGCGCATCAGTGGCCAAGTCAACACAGTGCAAAGAGCTGCGGGGCTGCAGGACAGCACCATGATACACCCAGCTGCTCCTACATCGAGCCCTGCAGCGCCCAAGCTGTGTGCACGACCCCTTCCCCTGGGGTTCCCTCCCTATAGGGTTCCTCAGGGTGAGTGAACCCCAGGATTTCCCTTCTGAGGCTCCCCAGCTCATGGGCAGCCATCAGCCTGGATTTCTCCCCTTTTGCCCATGCTGCTGGAGGAGCAGGGCAGGTCCTGGCAGTGGGCAGAGACACGAGCAGCCCCGTGTCTGCTTGAGGTGCCAGCAACAAATCCAAGGCTGCGTCAGCACAGGCAGCAAAAGCCCCAGCACGGCACGAGGCTGACAAGTGTATCGTGTCTCCAACGGGAAGGAGCAGACGGGAGGGAAATAAAAGCAAATGACATCACTTGCTGGCACGGGAGCACACACCAAGAGCTATTTCTGGCAGGACCTGGCCCGGGCTTCCTGCTTAAATGCTTGCAGATGTGGCTGCGGGTGCCTGGCGCAGGGCTCCAGCTCCTCCTGTGGGCTCCCAGACCCAGCCGGGTGCTGCCCACGCCAGGATGTGCTTGGGGCCAGCAGTGGTCCCAGCACTGCCCCATGGCTGCCACAGCCCTGCATGGCTGCACAGGGGCATACAGGGCAGCCAGCCAGTGACCAGGACATGGTGGCACCTCAAGGTGACCGACAAGGGCAAGGAGACAGGAACCTGGCAGTTGCCATGGTTACCAGCAGAGCATCCCCCAGCGCTGACTCAAAGCATGAGTAAAGCCCATCGTTAGGTGCAGGGAATGGAAGGAAGGGCTGGACGGCTGCGAGTTGTCCTGCTTACGGTGTCAGGGGGTGCTGGTGAAGCTGAGACACAGTCTTGTCCCATTATCTTGTCCTCATCATCAGGAGCTCAGCTGCCCTTCTTTGCCCGCTTGTACACTAACCCAGACCTCATTCCTTCGAGGGTGGTTACAACACTCTGGATTTGCAGTGAGTTCATCCCACTGGCTTATTGACAAAGCACAATTCTGGGGGGAGGCTTCCCCCTAAACCTGTGGCTGCTGGGCCACCTCCGTGGGGTCTGAGCTCTCTGGCAGAGACCTGGGCTGGGCTCAGTGCCACTGTTCCGATCCTGGCTTCCCACCAACCACAGTGCTACGAGCAAACCAAAAGGAAAAGCAGCTCGGGGTGAAACTAAATCCAATTGGAGACGTGGCAGCTGGTCCTCCTCTTTCCTTCTCTGGTTTGCTACGCAGGGTGCAACACCAGCAGGTCCCCATCCTCACTGCCACCCGTGTCACCACAGAGTGAGACAGTCACCATGGGGATAGGTGGCATTTACTGGTTGCCCCCAACCACTGCAAGGAAACCAGTATCTCTGCTGCCACAGGCAGGAATATCCCGTTCGCTAGCTGCTGCCAGATGTTCCTCTGCAGAGTTACTTGATGGAAAAACAGGGAAGGGAGCATGAGATGTGCCAGCAACATCTTGCTTTAATAAAAGAACAGGAAATAATGTTGGAGGAAGGAAAGATGTGCCTGAGTTTGTCCTCCTCCTGCACAGAAATGTGCCGTTAGAGAAGGATCTGCAGCAGGGATGCTGGGCTGCACCCAGAAGCACCCAGATGACCCCCATTCCCATGGGTACACCTCTGTGCTCCACCAGCCCCAAAACACCCAGGGCAGCTCAAGGAAGGCAGAAAGCCCTAAAATCAAACTGAGATGAGGAAGGGGAGATCACCTACATGTCTCGGTGCTCACAGCCTCCTTCCTGCCTCTGCTCAGCCAGCTGCCAGCAGCCTAAGAGGAAGGATGGGGAGAGCAGCAATTACAATGCAGGCAGCTGGCTGCAGCCAGTTGGAGAGCTCCTTGACCCACCCTACCCCGTCTCATTCCGTCTCCATGCACCCCATTCAATCTCCATCCATCCTATCCAATTTCATCCCATCTCCATCCACCTCATTCAATCTCCATCCCATCTCCATCCCATCCCCTTCTCACCCCAGCAGAGCCAGGACAGTGGCACCAAAAAGCTTTGTGGTCCTTGAGGTAAAGAAAATCCCCAGGGAGGAGGAGAGAGGAAGGAGAAGAAAAGCAAACCAGCAAGGAAAAAGGAGTTCAATCAGATTTGTAAAGGGCACAATTTACAAAATCCATCACATATTTTACTAGGCTGGGATTTACGGATTAGCCTGTAATATTTAGGTGGCTTTTTGTAATAAAATCCTGAGCTGCAGCAGCCTTGGGAAAGAGAGAATGAGGAAGAATTCTCCTTTACATCCCACCCTCATTTTCCCAGCTTTTCCTCCTTATTCTCTCTTTCTGATCTAGGCAGTCCTGTTAATCTGGGCTTTATCTGCCTATGGAGGAGGACTGAGCTCTTTATTGGATTTTTGTCAAGAATAAATGATTTAGTTTGGGATATTGCGGAAACGGTTTCCGTGGCATTACACCATCTAATAAATGAAGCAGTGGGGATCAATTCCTTCCCGGCCACGCGCTCAACAGGCTGCGGGAAGCCTGCGCTGTCGTCACTGCTGTTGTGGATCCAGCAGCTCCACACTGCTTGCCCAGTGGCACTGCCACCAAAGCATCCCAACCCTGGAGGCAGCTGTGAACCATCAGCTCTGCTCTCTGTGTGCAACAGCAGCTCCACGGCCAAGTGACAAAATGAGCAAAGCCCGGAGGTGCCAGGAGGACGGCAGTGCGGGGTCACCGTGGGATTGTCCCTGCTGGGGACAGGGCAGGACAGCGAGGAGGGAACTGGGGGCTCATTTCCCTTTCAGGAAGGATTATAAAACCCATCACTAAAGTTCTTCTTAATCGTCTTAGCACAGACCTAATTATTGGGAAAAGTACTTCAGGGGGCAGAAACTCGCCCTGCACTTCCTTCGTCTCGCTCAGCCCTATGGAGGGGAGATGGATCCCCGCCCGGGGATGGATGGGCAGAGCCTCTGTGCCCCATCCCCACCAAAGTGCCCCCACGATGCTGCAGCGCCGGCACCCACCCACAGCACCATGGCAGGGTGGGTGGGCAGAGCCTTTGAAGAGATGGAGTTAAGTGCCTGTGAGTGTGTGCGATGGTGATTTATGAAGGCTCCTAATTAAGGGAAATCCTTTGGGGAATGAAAATCCCTCAGCTGTCAGGTTTGTGTGGGAAGGAGAGCAGGCAGAGCCAAGGACCTTGGGGACACGAGGAGTTTTGCAGCCAGAATGAGCAAAGCCACTGCTGTTCCTGACCCAACCTCATTTCTGTGCCCATCTTCATACCCATAACCATCCCCATCTCCATCCTATCCCTATTCCAACCCCATCCCTATTTTCTCCCCATTCCTATCCCCATCCCCATTCCTATCCCCATCCCCATTCCTATCCCCATCCCCATTCCTATCCCCATCCCCATCCGTATCCCCATCATCACTGCAGAATGGGGTCCTGGGGAGGAGCACCCATGCACGAGGCTGAGAGTGTCCATCCCATGGTCTCCACAACCCAGAGTAGGGAACTCACCCCATGAACAGGGAAGTGCAAGACCTGGGCATGGCACAGCTGGAAGAGGACCCCCCCTGTCGCCTACTCCAGTGAGTGCAATGAGTTATTACTGCAGGAAATGAAACTGCTAATAAATCCCCAGGCAGAAGCCGGGAAGGTTAAAACTCCATCTTTAAAGGGAGACAATGATTTATAAAGTGGCATCCAATTCCTCTTCCCCACTGCACAGCTCTGGGCTGCCAGGAGCAGGACTGTGGCTGCGTGTGCTGAGCTCACCCCATGCATGGAGATGCTGACAGCCCAGGGTGGGGGCTGGGGAGGGGGGGGAGAAGGACCCAACTTGGGGTCAATGCCCTGTCCTCAGCCCCCATTCCAGCCCCCCTGTGCAATCAGACACACACTCCCTGCGCACCACGGTAATTCCCCACCCCTGACCTGCTGGGGACCCACTCACCTGCAGAAAATGGGTTTTTAATAGAGTTTGGTTTTTCTATCACCTATTTGCTGCGCCGCTTTAAATCTCGTTCCACACAGAAGCGTCGCACAGCCGCTGGGGCCGAGCACAGCCATTGTGCTGGGGAGTCCAAGGACGGAGGAAAACAGCACCCCAACGGATCCCAATGGCTGGGGGGACACGTGGCATCCCCTCAGGGGACAGCTGGGTCCAGCTGGATGTGGCTGTGAGCACACAAGGCTGGGATGCGCCGTGCAGACGCGGTCATTGCTCTCATCAGAAATAAACAGGAAGACGTGATGAGCCTCAGCCAAGGGCTTGGGCAGCGAGGGGTTGTGCAGGGGGCAGCAGGACTGCAGGCAAGGGAATGCATCCCTTTGCTGTGGGGCTGCACCACGGCAAACAGCAGGAGGATGCTGCGTGCAAGCGTGAGCTCACCCCACTTCTTCTCCTGTCTGATCTCAGCACTCAGCTCCAGCCAGCAGCAAGTCCCTACAGGAGAGCATCCACACGCAGTGTCTGGAGTGAGAACATCTAGGGAAATAAGGCAATGAGCAGAGCAGGAGAGCCTGTAAGTTACCAGCACCTCGAGATGCTCATAAATAATGCACGTGGCACAGAGTTGGGGAGCTTTTTACCCAGTTAATTAATATGTATGGTAACGTGCGTGAATGCAATGCAGCGGCAGGGCTCCCCCTTTGCTCCCAGAAAAAATACTTCTTGGAGGACTGACACATTTATTATCTCCCCTATAATTACCTTATTGTGAGCATTTGTTCTAAAGCACCCTGAGAACCCCAGCCCCATGCAGGGCTCCCAGGAGGGGAGTGGCTTTGAAACATTGGTAGGGACTGGGGAAAGCGGGTCAGGATGGGATTCCAGGGCTCTGCTGGGGATGTACCAGATCTGTTTGGGCTGTTATGTCATCTCTGGGCAGAACAGATGGGATGGGATGGGATGGGATGGGATGGGATGGGATGGGATGGGATGGATGGGATGGGATGGGATGGGATGGGATGGGATGGGGTGGGATGGGATG